GTGTGTGTGTGTGTGTGTGTGTGTGTGAGAGAGAGAGAGAGAGAGAGAGAGAGAGAGAGCTGCAGCATGCAGCATGGAGCATGTTAGTGGCAGGGAGTACAACTTGAAGTGCACGCGCTGACCTCCCCCTAAAAAAAAGAAAAGGTAATATTCTATTGGAATACAAAAAATATTTTTTTTCAAAATTTGAATGGAAAGGGTACACCTTGTATTCGAATACAACACACACACTTTCTATTCGCAACCCTAAGACTGCGGTATAATAGGCTTCGATGTTTGTGTCAAAATGTCGCATTTTTGGCGGCGGGCGACCAGGACGCTAAGTGAATTTTTAGGGGGCAAAATTTTTTTGGGGACCAGTCCTTGGCAAAATTGTGGATTACCTACAACTAGCTCTGGTAGAACCGAGACTTTTGGAAAAAGGAAGGACCGGTCCTCAGATGGAAGTGGACCCTAAAAAGAAGTGAGGGTATGTAAACTGCAAAAGGGCTATCAAGCCCAGGCGTTGAGGCCCGTCTTCTCAAAACAGGGAGGTCAGACGCAAAGAAACAGGCATTTTGCAAGAGGCAACTTTTACGATTTTTTGTGCTCGGAGAAACCCGCAAAAAATATGAAATTTTCAGAATCCATAGATGAGGGCGTGTTCTTTCTAGGAAAAATAGAAAAATATTTTCAAAAAATCATTTACACTGCAAAATAATTGTCGAACCGATCTGGCACATTCTCCATTTTTGCCACTCAGCCATGTGTAGGCCAAGTGAAGAAGTACTCAAAATTCAGTGAGTTTTCGCGCTCATAAGAATGCGTGATATTTCCAAGAAAAATGCTCAATAAATAATAAAAAATCATTCCAACTGTGAAATAGATTGTGGCCGCAATTTGACCCATATTTCAATTTTGACATTCAACCTCTCTCTCTCTCTCTCTCTCTCTCTCTCTCACTCACTCATATCGACAAATGGAACAAAACTCTCTCTCTCTCTCTTTGGTAGCCCTCACCGCTCCCTCTCTCCCTATCTCACTTTCTTTCTTTCTCTCACTCTCTCTCTCTCTCTCTCACACTTATAACAATGAATGGAACAAAACTCTCTCTCTCTCTCTCTCTCTCTCTCTCTCTCTCTCTCTCTCTCTTTTTGTGCGCGCTGTTAGTCTCATTGCTTTGGTTACCTTAGGGCTGCGTACCCCTTGCCCACGCGGTAGACAATTCAATGTGCTCTTCTATGGAGAAAAATGTCGAAGGTGTGAAGGGCATAAAAAGCAACCCTGAAGGAGGTTTTCCAGCCGCCGGCCAGTGGGACCCAAGCCTAAGTAGTGAATGGTAGACATCATCTTGTAATTGTTGGACACGAGTTATTTCGGATGGACGGTTGCAGGTTTGGAGAGTCTGAATGAAGCTGTAAGTCGACGTAGTCGACTGGCTGTGAGGAACCTACGTAAGTCTGAGCATTTGCCATTTTGGTCCCCCCAGGCTGCCCCTCACATTCTGAACCGTCGCCGGGACATGGCCTATTGGGCGTGGCCAGCCATTTTGGTCCGGTAGGCCGAGCCTTTGCGTGGCCCAGTCGGGGGAGCAAGGCACACCGGGGCAGGGTACCGGTGGTTGTACACGACGAGCTGGAATACAACGCTCAGGTGCTCAATCGATCGAGTACAACGCCTACGCTCGGACCTGTTCTAGAGAATGAGAACTCGAATACAACCCCTAGGTGTTATGTTCAGGATCGAAGCTATTGCCTGCCGTATCTCCTCGCCACCGGTCGAGCATGGTAAGCTCCGCCACCACTGGATTTGTCGGCGGCGCAAGGTCGCTGTAGGCGCTGACAGCCCGCCTACCGAGCCTGGCCACAGACCTCGGTGGCCCCATGACATGAAACGACTTCGGCCTTGAGGGAGAAGTATGGTAGCCACCAGCTCCCTCGGCGCTTCTGCTTTTCACGGGCGAAGTCATTCGCCCTCACCTGGACCCCGTGGTCGGTCCCGGTAGTGCATGCACTCCTGCGCGTGCGTGGCGGAAGTCACCTGTCCCCCTCGGTAAGGGCAGAAAGAGAGAAGGTGGCGATCTATTCCATTCTTCTCTTTCCTGTTGAACGATGCCTAGGAGGTACTGATAACACCTCCAAGAGCATGTATTGATATCCTGAGTGGAGTGGAGCTGGAGGTGTTGATAACAGCTTTGAGATCAAAACTTATTCGAGTACATGCCTTGATCTTTCAACGATTTTTACAGGTATTCACAATACCCCTCCCCCTCCCCCTTTTCTCTCTCTCTCTCTCTCTCTCTCTCTCTCTCTCTCTCTCTCTCTCTCTCTCTCTCTCTCTCTCT